GGGGGGGGTGGCAGCGCCCGGTTGCGTGGGAGCCGGCGTAACTCACAGGAACCCGGCCGCATAGGAATCGGAGAGGTTGTTCATGCCTCCGGCCGAGGTTGCGCCAACACCTTCCAGCCAGATCTTCTTCCCTGGTGTGTACGTGTTCACTACCTGTGCAGGACACAAAAACAACCAAAATGACTCTCATGAACCTGTAATTTAAAGCCAAGGCAGACATCTCCTGTGCTACTACAGAGCAATGCCGCTGCTGGGCAGCCCTGGCACGGTCACTAAGTGTCTTCACCACGTCTGAGTGGTGGACGACTGGTCCTCACTCTCTCCTGCTGCTGCTACATGTCCACTACCCATCTTCTGGAGCTACTCCAAACATGCCATCCCAAACGTACCCTCACACTCCCAAACCCGGGCCCTGCTCTTTCCCCGCGGTGTCCCTGTGTGCTCCGTCCTGCAGGCTGTCTCCTGCCATGTCACCTCAGCTCTCCACATCCCCACACAAGGTGGCTGCCAGCCGCAGGGACCACCCAAGCCCTGATGGCTCTGCAGCGTGGGAGCCCTGGGACACGTACCGGAGCCACATGGAGGGATGGTGAGTACCTGAGAAGAAAGCAGTGGCTGCCCCTAGGTGTGGGCAGAGCCAGCCCCATGGCTGAGCAGGGGCTGCTTCACGATCCAAGGGGTCCCCAGCACAGGCAGGATGGGCAGGTCTAAGCCTGCTGGCCCACCCCTTACAAGGCTCCAGCCGGCAGCGTGGACACCCGTGAAGTGCCAGGTGGGATGGGAGGGCTTGGATGGCCGGAGCTGCCCTCTCCCAGCACGAGCAACCTCCGGCACCGCACAATGCCCTGTCCTCTCTCCCGCAATCCCACTTCTCCAGGCCGGGTGACGAGCTGCCATGACCAGATGTCTGCAAACCCGGCAGCCTGAGGAGCGCTCCGCGCAGCCTGATGGATCCTGCCCCATTAGTGAGGAGCGCTGGAATGTGCTGGATGGACTGGGATCCCTCAAAGATGTTAAATACGCCAGCTCTGGGCTGCCTCCCACTCACAGCCTGTGAGAGTTGACATCCCTGACTGAAGCCCCAGAGGTGTTGGCATCCTGCCTGTAATTATCTAAGCCCGCCACCTTCCCCCGTCGGAGAGGAAGCAATAAAACAGGGAAGTGGACAAGCCCAGCTGCTCTAATCAGCCCCGGCAGGATGCACGGACTCAAAGCCAAGCTGGAGGCTATTAGCACCCAGTGCTGTGCTTTTGCTCAGCCATACTGGCATTCCCAGGAGAGCCCTTGCCCAGCCCTGCCCTGTGCAGACCAAATCCTGCCCCGTGGGTGTGAGAATTCCCCCAGCCCACGCTGTGGGCAGCTCCTTGCTGCCTCTGGTCTGGGGATGGATGGGGTCCAGGGAGCCCCTAGGGTTTTTGTCCCATCCTGCTGGTCTGTCACCACCCAGCTGCCCGTGGCTGGGGTGGTGAACCATACCTCCAGCCACCCTGCTGCTGGTGCCCCACTCACCGGAGCCCTCTGCCCAGCCCACCCTGGGGGCTCCTGCTCCTTTCCCAGCAGGTTCCTGACCCACAGCAGAGGTGGGGCACGTGCCACCACTTTTGGTGGGGTTGTGTCCCCCCAGCGGAAACAGGGCTGGCCGGTTCCTCTCAGCCCCTGTGCTGATCCCGCTGGTTTCCCCGCCATGCCTCCCTGCAGCAAGAGGATCATCCGCATGCATGGATGATTCCCAGCTTGTGCCGGAGGACTCGGCAAACGGCTCCTCTCCTCCAGTTTTGCTGTGCCGACCCTCGCATCCCCTTTCCTGGGGCCTCTTTGAGTTGTTTACTCATCCTACGGTTTCTCCCTGCAGGAATTACAACAGTAAGACATTGTGGTGACTGGTATGGTTTGAAAACCTAGACAAGACAGACGGATGGTCATTCCCTCTAGTCCCTAAAGCCTTCCCTGCTTACTAGGTGTTCCTTATTTGTTGTCAGACTGACAACTGAGTGGGCTGGTCACAGCCCCGGCCTCCGTATCAGCTGAAGCTGGGGGACCTGTGAAGCCCCCATCCCCTACCCAGCCACTAGAGATGTGACCCTGGTCCTGCCAACCAGCGGGGAGAGGAGAGCTTGCTGCAGGCTATGCTAGCCAGGCAGAGCCGTGGGCTCTGACACAGCACACCAGCAACAGCTGGGTTTTATAACACAGTCAAAACATGACCATCAGGGGAAAAAAAACAGTTGTTCATAACAATCATGATTCTCCACTAGTGAAAAATCACCCTGGAAATGCAACTGTCACAACTTTGCAAGCAACATTTTTAGGCACTGTGAGCAAGTGGGGTAAGATATTGCAGTAGGAGCCCCCTCCTGAGCAGGCACGGCACTGGCCATGCTCAGGATGGTTTGGTACCTCCTGGCTGCTCCCTCCTCTCCTCATCCTCAGGAATAGATAGATGGGAGGCTGGAGACAGTCAGCTGCTTTAGAAAGGCTTTGCATGGCAATGTCTGCCCCTGTCCGGTGCATCCAGCCTGCGTCCCGGCACACCTGCACAGCCCATGCCACGCTGCAGCCCACAGCCCCTTCCCTCCTGACCCGCCGCACATCCCACCCCGCGGCCAGGCGCCATGCTGCCCAGACTTTCCTCCCATCCCCTGGGTGAGGGCTGGCTGCGTTTGGGCTGGGAGCACAGCCACCCCCGGCAGCCATCCTCCATCCCTGCCCCACACCAGCTCCCCTGGGAGCGTGTCAGTGCTGAGGCCAGAGCCCCAGCCACGAGCTGTGCCGAGGCCAGGCAGCGCAGGCACCGTGCCCCCTCACCCCTCACAGACCCTTTGCACTCACGCACTTTCTGGATTTTCCTGATCTGGTCAGAGAGCGTGTCTAACAGGCGCGTTTTCAGGAAGTCCGTCACTTTGGCCACCCTGCCATCAATGTAGTAACTGGAAGGAAAATAAGAAGACAAGGATCAGACAGCTGGGAGTAGCTCTGCTCCAAACCATGTCCTCCTGTCCCACTGCTGCCCCATGCCAAGAAAACTCCTCTGCTCCGGGGGAGACCCTGCTTGCACCCTGCCCTGCTCTGGCCCTCTGGCTGTGTCTGTGTCCGGCAGATGCTTTCAGTCTCCAAAACAGGGCATGAGGTGGAAGTATCCTGAATGCTGAGCATCCTGCACTGCAGAAACCACGGGAAGTTTTGCACTTGCTGGTGAAATGCTGGGAGCAGAACGCAAAAGGCTGGGAGCAAAACGCCACCTGCAAAGGCTTTGCAGCACCCTCTGCACTGATCTCATGGAGACACCATGGAAGGACACCCTCCAACACGATGCCTGTGAGAGCAGAGCCTGGGCTCCACCAGCAGGGAGATATTGGGAGATCTCCTGCTCAGCCGGCTTCTCCCACCTGTACCCATCCCCTGTCTTAGGGACACCCTGTTTTCAAAAGGCAGATAAGCCAGTCAGCCCTGGGCCCAGTATCATTGCTACTGGAAAAGTTGCTCTTACAGGATGGCAAAATGGAAGATGCACATCTAATGGCTGAAATGAAGGGCCCGTTAGCCACAGGAGGACACAATGCAGATACCAGGGAGGAGAAGGGTCCCAAGCAGCAAACACCCTCTGAGACACACTGGAAATTGCTGCAGTAAACACCCAGGAGAGGATGGGGGAAGCTGGCTGCACTCCCAGCTGTGGGAATAACTGCATCACTCTTACCTGGGTCATGGGACAGTCCCCATTCCATGACTGGTCTGCAACAGGGATTGTACAGAGCCTCTTCTGGTCTGAGAACCAGAATCGCTCCTGGACATCCTGCTGCAATAATAAACCTCTAGGCTAAGCCCTGATGGTGTTTCTGAGCAAGGATTAGTGACTGTGGGGTGCACGGGCTGAGAACCTATGGCACCAAAGTGAGCCCCGCTCCCAGCACCCCTGCACCACCTGTACCTTCCTTGCTCGCTCTCCCAGCAAAGTCCATGGCTGAATCCCGTGAAATGCCATGTCCGTTACCTGCAGGGGAAGTCCTGCTCTCACAGAAATCCCTTCTGCCCTGGGAATGCCAGGAAGCGTTTCCCATACAGAGGGCTAATTCCTGCTCTCCATGTGTTTGCTTATATGAAACACAGCTATAGTGCTGCCAATCACAATGTGAATCATCTGTCTCTAAGTGTGGGAGAAAGGCTCTGAAATGCCTCAATACTGTCTCCTGGCTCCAGGACATGAGGTGAAGCAGTCTGTCTTGGAGTGCAAATACCCTGTGGCTGGAATTAATCCCAACCAGCTCCTCCTGAGGAAGTGTCTGGGGCTGGCACCTCGGCCCCCATGCAAGGAGCAGTGGCAGCCCTTGCACATCTCCCAGAGGCTCCTCTCAGCCATGCAGGGACACCAGGATGTCTGCTGCAGCATGCACTGGCATACCCCTGGGACGGCCATTTGGCTGATAAATAGATTTTGCAAGAGAAACTTTCTGAACCTTCTCCTCGCAAATCTGCAGTGTGCATCACCCGCTCGACACAGTGAGCCCCAGACCGTGTTGGAGCTCTGCTGGGGTGACAGAGGTGCACGGGAATTACAGCAGCTCTGGCTGGAGCCACATCCACCAGAGTTACACAGACCCTTCTCCCTCTCCATAGATTTCAGTGCAGCCATGGGTGCTGGGATGCATAATGGGCTGAAGACCTGGGGTCTGAAGAAAGGTGGATTCAGTTTTCCAGGGCTGACTTCTCCATAACATGCATCTCATCCACACCAGCGAGCAGCTGTAGTGCCCATAGTGGCTGCTTCACTTGGGTGCTGGAATGCGGGAGCATCCCCAAAGGATGCTGCTGGCTAACTCCGCCTCAGCCAGAGCACCTGGCACACGTGCAACATGCACGAGTACTCAGAGAGGATTTTTGCATCTCACTGCTTCAGGTCACTACCCAGGTAACAGGGTAAATGCTCTTGGAGCTGCACAGAGCTGCAGTGAAAGGGGAGCAACACTAGGACTAACTGGCCCAGAACAGAAATGCATTAAATGAGAAGAGTCTCTTCTGCCAATCCTCCCACAGATGCATAGTCCCTGCTGCGTCCCCAGTGAAGCACAGGATCATGCCCAGTTTAACTCTAATGTTGTGTAACCCAGGGAAGGAGGAAAGAGGTATTTCTGTATGTCTGTGTTGACTGGAAGGTGCTAAGGGCAGAGATTATCTCCGGGCGGGACTTGGGAAGTGTTCGAAATCGTTCCAATCACCTATACACTATCAAACCACTGGCTGCCGGGAGGAGAACAGATCTGTAAGCAGCAGGCAGTGGTGGGGTTTACAGAGATTACTTTTTAAGACAAAATTACAAAGCAATGGACTCTGGGGATGGCAGATGTTTGGATTTTAGCACAGCACTTAAGAACTGAACAGAAACCATTTTTTCAGACTGCTGTGGACTAAAAACCCCATCACCTGGGCCGAAAACTGTCTGAAAGGCCATAAAAATAAGGTTGTATTAAATGGGAAAAGATGGAGTTAGAGAGACCTCAGTCTGCATATGGCCCCTCCAACACAGCAGGCTTTCTGCAGGGTTCAGCTTGTCTGTGAAAGCCGATATGGTCCCAGAAAAAAACCCTTGGAAAGCAAAGGCAGGCTTGCATCTACTCATCGTCTTGTCGAAGCGCAAGGTGTGCTCTGACCTTCAGCTCCACTGCCAAAGGGGGGGACCATCTCCCCAGGAGCAGCCCCAGAGGATGCTCTGCCCTTCCGGGGACTGTGCAGAGGAGGCAGCCTGGGAAGGTGCTGCTGTGCTGAGCACAGCCGAGACCCTGCAGGGAAGAGAGATGCCCCGGGACAGTGCCACAGTCACAGTTTTTTGACACCTTCATTAACAACCCAGAGAAATGGGGACTGGCAGAGGGAGGAAAGGCAAAAATAAACCTGCTTCAGTATCAGGAAATCTTGTTGGTAGCATGTCTCCTGGGGGAGTGAGGGTGGGGGGAGCAAGGGTGGGAGCACCTTGGCTTTGGGTATTTCAGCAGAGCATGAAGACCATCACAAGCTTCTGTACGATGGGCAAGGATCTCTTGCAGATCTGCCTGGAAAGTTCTCGGACACTAACAGGTAGTTTCAACATCCTCAAACTGGGAAAGAGGGAAAATGGCACCAGTTGCACAAGGCTTGTGAGGAAGAGGGGGGCACTGAGGTCTTCACTGGTACCAGGCTACTCGGGAACAGGTCAGCCGTTTCCAGCTGTAGGCTTCATCACTGAGATTTGGGCACTTCCTTTTGAGAACTGTCAGTAAAGGCAGTATAGAAATCTGCAAAAGGCAAACAACTGACAGGCCTTTAAAGCAGGAGAAGCGCTCGTTAGGCGTGGATTATTCCCAGGAGCAAAGGCTGCAGCTTTGCTGATATTTACAATGACTCAGTGCACTTGACTTTAAAAAAACCCCAAAACCCCGAACAGTCGCAACTCTCCAACCTCCCAAAAAGCCAGCAGCAGCTGCAGAGAGCTCCAGTGCTGACAAGTACCCAAGCACCTCCCCAGGCAGCAGCGCAGTGCACAGGCAGCCGGGCTGAGCCAGCCCCGGGGGCCGCGGCATCCACATCCTCCTCTCCCCATGCCGGCAAGGTCTGAGTGCCAAAGGAGACAAATGGACAGACCCTCCCCAGCGTGGGCAGGGGTCTCTGGCAGCCACAGCTCTGCAGAGGCAGAGGATGCATAGCTCATGGACAAGCTATTCAGCTGCAAGACAGGCTGGCAGATCTTCCAGTGAGCTCTGAGTATGATGCAGTACCAGAGTTGGCCCTGAAGCCTAGGAGATTTCAGCATGCCCACCATGGGCACAGACTATGCCATTTCTCGCAATACAGGAGAGAATAGATAAAGGCAATTGCATGCAGAGCTGACTCATCGTGTCCCCTAGTTTGATGCCACTACCTCTGTAGACAGACAATCTGCAGAAACTTGAGAAGAGCCAGCCAAGGAAAAGAGCAACTAAATCCTAGATGAGACATATGTCTCAGAGAAAAGGCCATGTACAGTGACTTTGGGTGCCCTATTATACTGTACAAAGTTGAGGCCACTTCTCCCCCTTCTGTTTACATTACCCCATTTCAAAAAAACACATTTGAATATGCAAATATTCATATTTGAATATGAAACCTGGGATGAGATCAGTGTGCTTTGCAAAGGGAGGTGTGACCATATCACTCCAGAGGTGGCTAAAGCAGAGCACGGCACAGGGGGAGGACTCAGCCAAGGGCTGGGCAGGGATTTGTGCCAGCACAAGGAAATGCAGCACCCCAATTCCCAGCCCCCATCCCTGGCTGGAACTGCAGCATGAGACTCGAGACACAAAGACAAGAGCTGGGAACAGTACACCAAGAAAGGTGCTGCCAAAGGGTCTACTGAGGCAGGGCTGAGCACAGCTGCCAGCCAGAAATGCCCTTGTTCTTGGGCAGGCTGCAAGGCCAGGGCGCACACAGCCCTCCCAGAGAAGGGCAGTGCCAGGCACCTGGGCGAACCTGGGACTACATGTCTCTATCCTGCCACCTCCGGGACTTGTGCTGCCTTTAAGATGGTTTTCTGGAAAGATCCACAATCTGCTGCGTGGGACCATGAGCATCATCCCATATTTAATGAAGGCGGTGCACTGGCTCCTGGGCAGCTGGTTTCATTTACCTCCCCTTTCATTTTAAAGAGAAACCTTTGCCCCTATTATCTGACCTCTTCTTCTGTTGCAGTTAATTACATTAAAGCCCACTTCCCAAAGCTCAGGAATTTCCGGATCTACTTTGTTGCCTGCTGCTACAGGGAGAGTCTGCTAGGAATTAAGGCACCCGCCTGCCGGGGACGCCAAGTGGGGCAGTTCCCTGCCATCAGTGTGACATCCCTCTGCCACCACAGCTGTGAAACCGAGACACCTCTCCCAACAGAGGTGGCCCCCATCCCTAAGCATCTTCCCGAGGAGAGGGCAGAGCCCCCTTCTGCAGCACAGGACACAGGCAGCCCCACTGCTCCCCCCGGAGAGGCGAGGGGGGATGCGACCTGCTCCCCCCAGGTAAAGACCTGCAGGCACAGGGGAGAGGCACTGCCCACCTCCAGTCAACGAATAAAGAAGAATGACCAGGGGCTACTCTCTGGCCCCAAAGGCACAGCTCACACCCATGTCTTTCTCTGCCCCCAGATGAGGTGCCTCAGTCTGTCCTGCCGGTGGGAGCCGTCTCTGGCCCACACCATCTCCCCTCCCATGCCCTGGCATCGCCTGGGACCATGCTGGTGGCCAGGACCACGATGCTACCATGGACTGTGCCCTCCATCAGATAGTGCGGAGGATGGCAAGCCAGTGGACAAAGCCATGTCCTGGCCAGGTTTATTTACAGGTGGAGATGGGCCAGTGATTCCTTCATGCAACCCCTTCCTCCAGGCACAACCTCAGAAGACACCATACTCTGAGCACTCACAGCAGGTCATGAAAGCCCAAATATATTCCCTTGGTATATACATCGGGGCAGGGTGCATGCTGAGCAACTCTGCCCCAGCACCTTTGGGAAACCTGCCCCTGCAGCTACTGCCTCATGAGCAACTCTGCCTGCACACTTGACGTGTCTAAGCCAGAAGAGATGTCACCCAAACCAAGCCCAGCAAAAGCATTTTAAGCAGCATCCCCGACATGCCCGTGTGCCTGGCATCTCTGGTTTGCCACATCGGGTGGGTGACTTTCCATCTTGGAAGATAACATGGCATTCTCCAAGGAGCCAAAAGGATAGATGTTCACTGATTCTGAAGATGCAAACATTTACTTTCCCTGTCATTAATAGGGATTTTGTGCTTCAGAGGCAGAACTGCGTAAGGATTTGCCCATTAAAGATACAAAACTTGGAGTTTTGCACAATCACTTTGAATGGAAAACCAGCTGTGCAGATTGAGAGAGCACACCTGAGGATGGGACCGGGCACAGCTACAGGTTTAAGTGAGCAATGAATCTTCACCATGTGCGAGGATGCCAGCACCGAGAAAAGAGATGGCTGTGGGGAGGTTTCTGAGCAGTGAAAACCCGCATCCAAAGACTGAGGGGGTCTGCAATAAACCAAGCATTTACTCAAAACAAACAAACTAAATTATCAGGGAAATGCCAAAACTCTCGGAGCCACTGTCAGTCCCACCTGCCACACCCTCCTTTAGTGGAAATTCCCTGAGCATTTCGAAGGCATTCACACATCCCTCTCCAGCAACACATTACTTCTGAAGAGGGAGGCACACATGCTGAGTTACATATGTAAGTGAAACCATACTCAGAAAGGCTGGCGAGGTTGCTTATTTCCACCCAGTGTCACTTTTCTGTCAGCTATATTTCAGATATATTCTGTTTTCACACAGAGAATAGGGACCCCTGCAATGTATTCCCTTCTCAATTCCCTTTCTGGATCGAGCACAGCCTTTTCAAAGGAGTAACAGATTTGACAAATTTATAACCGATATCCCGGGAGAACGTTAGGGTTTGGAACAGAAACGTTCATACTTGAAGTTAGACAGCAGTTTAGTTTCCTGCTAATAATTTTCTTCTTGGATACAAAGGAACTTGTTTTGTTTTGTTTTGCTGTTTGGAGCAGAGGGATGAGACACTGTTTTGACATTTATTCATAAACAGTACAGAAGCCCAGCTCGGAGCTGTAGCAATTGCCAGTCCTCACAAATGTATACGGGTGCAATCTCCAGAGCTGCAAACCTGGGCTGGGGGAGAAGCAGCTCCTACGCTGCAGTGGAAATGGGTCAGAAAGCAGCGTCTCAGCTCTGCCAACCCTCACAGGCTGCTGCTTCGGTGCAGCCGCTCAGCACCAGAGCTGCCGAGCACTTTGCACTGATCCTATAAGAAGAGGTTTCAAAGCAGCCGTGTGGGCAGATTCCCTGCACACCAGGACGAAACTCCACATCTGAAGCCTGGAAGTTTGTTCCTTCAACTCCTCCAAGGGCTTGGCCCAGTGATCAAGCCCTGTTGCAGACAGCAAATTCCTGGCCTAAGTAAATGTGATCAGCACATCGTGTAATCATGAAAAGCAAACTCCCAGCTGAGACATAGATCATCATTGCACAGCATGAGCCTGTAAGAAAGACAAATCCTGCTCCAAATGCTCTGCTACCCCACTGCCCCCATTGCATCAAGCTGCTGCTGCCTGGCAGGGAAGCCCCAGGAGCCAAACACCTAAGCAAACAACACTGCGGCACAGCGAGGCAAGCTACGCTCCCTGAGGAACAGGACTTGCTGGATGCTGGTGCTATGAACCACTCTGAGATGCCAGCAGTTGCTTCTGCAGGAGGCTCCAAAGTTAACACACCAGCACAGAGAACCTGGGCACACTTGCAAGAAAACCTCATGTCTTAAAACCCACCAAGCTCTTTTTAAGAGCAGGTCTCCAGGTGGGCTTTATGAACCACTCCACTACACTTCAGCAAAGCAACCTGAGCACCCCACAAAGGGTCGTTGAAGAGGACCAGTTTGGGGAACAAGGCCTGTGGGCATCAAACCCAAGCCCACTTTGGACCTGAGACCCTGGCTCCAGTGGTCAAGGCCAGTGCCGCCCATGGGAAGTTTAAACTAGTGTCAGAGCAAAGCCACTTTTTCTAGGAACAGGGAGGTCTCACCATGTTTCTGCCTGTCTCTGAAATGTGTCCTTTCTGTGGCAGGAGAGAGTCCTGCCTGCCCCACAAACCCTTTTTCTATCAATTCTGGCACTTGCTGCTGTGCTTGCACACTGCCTCACCTTTGCACTGGCATTTGCACTCCCACTGCACAGGGTCACAGCCTGCTGGGGAACCTACCTCTGGCCACACTGTGCAAACTGGGGCAGTTAGAAATAACAGGAGGAAAAAGATGTTTATGGATTTTCCCCCAAATAAGAAAACCTTTTCCTCCACTTGGTGCTTGTCACAGTACTACCGCTCAGAGCTTGCTTTGCCTCTTCTGAACTGCAGCACATGTTCATGTGTAGGAACCAGGAGAAATCAGGTATCAGCATCTCTCTGGCAGCCCCACTTTGGCCTGGATCTTGGATGTTCACCTCCTTTCCATCAACATCTGCTTTTGGGGCCCCATCTGCAGTGCAGGACAGCGGCGTGTCTACGGACATCTGAGACCCTTACAAAACGGAGTGGGGAATGGGGCATTGCGCATTTACCTTTGGACTAAGTTGCCTCTCCCTCCTCTGGGCCAAACCAGCTTAGCTTTGGGCCACTGGTTGCAGGGAGACAGTGATCAGGGTGAAAGGAAAATGGCTTTCAGATAGTCCCGTACATCTGTCACACTTGGCTTTTGCTTTCCTGTCGTCCCCACCCCGGCCACCACCGGAGCTGCCTGTCTTCCCAGCTGCCTCCGGGGACCCAGTAGTCCAACACAGGCTTTGTTTCCAGCAATCAGGCAGGCCAGGCATGCAGGCAGTGGTATTTTTAGCCTCTGTCTCAGCTGCAGTGGTAAAGGTTAATACATCCCCTCCTGTATTTGTTCGAGAGGCTCCAGAGGGAGGGACAGAGCCTCTTTCACCTATCTAAATGCAGCAGGAGGACAGAGGAGGTGGCTGTCACATATCTGCCCCCTTTCACACCCAGACAGCGCATCAGCTCTGCTCCCAGCATTGTCTGATCACTGCAATTAACGTTGGAAAGTAGAAGAAATGGTGAATACCTACTGTTGCCAGGTAACAGCATCCACTGTGCTGCCAGCCACTTTCATGAACCTATAGGAAACAGAGGAAAAAACCATGTAAGCCTAGTGTTGTCACAGGAGAAGTCCTAAAACAACTGATGCCCATCCTACATCACAGGATACCAAAGGCAGTCACCACACTCACAGACCTTTTCTAACGAAACCTTTGCATCCTTAAATGGAAAAAATAAATTATACTTAATACAAATGCTTGTCGCAAGTACAGCTGAGAATAATGGAGTGAAACCCAACTGGCAGCAGAGCTCTGAGCATCATTTTCAGGCAGGCAGGGAGAGCTTTTGGAGCACAACAGCATTTCAGGAACAAGATCTTGGGGTATGTACTAGTTCTACTACTGCAACAACCCTCAGTAGCGATTAAAGAATAAGTTTTAATGCCCATCTTAAAAGGAGACACTTCTTCACCCAACATGTATTTAAGCTGAGGAACAACTTCCCTGGACTCAAGCAAGGACTGGGAAAATGGAAGAAAATGGAAGAAAAAAACAGCAAAGCTATTAGATACAAAGATGCCACCTCCAGCTCGGGAAGTCCCTGAGCACTGGAGGGTGGGAGGAAAGGCTGGACAAATACGGCTAGGTGCTTCCCTTTTTCTGATGTTCTTGGGCATTGGTTGTTAGCAAACTGATGGAATTCCAACACGGGTGCACTTTTAGTCTGTCCTGTTCCTATTACTAAACCACAGCACTTCAATGCACAAGGTTACAGTGAGTTATGTGTATGTATTAGTCTCCTGATGGCTTATGGCCCAACTATCTTAATACATCTCCTCCAGACAGCTCCTATTTGAGTCAGACTTGAGGCTACACAGGTGTATCTGCTTATGCTGCTGATGCCAAAACCAAAGCAATTCCTAATCTTGGGGACTGTATGTGACCACCGCAGCAGCAGTCCCTGGCACAGGCTTGCTGCCATCCAAGGCAGTCCCTCCCTGGCTCCCTGGTCCAGCAATCCAAACTGCACCTTGGAAAACTGCAGCTCCCAGGAGGAAGTCCAAGCAGTTACTCTATTCTTACGCTTAGGAGCAGAGATATGAAAACACACAAAGGCACACACCGACCGGACAGGCACGCTTTTCTGTTCAGTAGTGTAATGTGCACTGCATAGCTGATGCATTTTTAGAAGCAATAATGTATGCACAGGACAGGACACATTGGCTTGAGCAAGTGAACGTGATGAGAAAAAACAATGCTGTATTGTCTTGGGCTGCTCTTTGATGCACGGGGATCCCGGGAACACAACAGGAATCACACAGCTGTCCTGACTCCACCGGGACACAGGGATGAGTGGTGCTGGGTCCTGCGACCCCAACTCCCCCAGGACAGCCCCATGACCGAGGATGGGGAAGGAAAGGGAAGGTTTGTGAGGAGAGATGAGACCTTTTATCAGACCAGTTGTCATGGCAGGGAAGAATAGCAAGCTTTCCGGCACATGAGCCTCTAATCAGGTCTGAAACAAGAGCAGCAAACTTCAGGCTAAATATAGCTTGGAAACAATCATTCTGACTTTAAATTAATGACGATGGTCAATTATAGACTGGGACAAAAGGGCAGCTGGACCCTGTGAAGCATAAGAAGACACTGGCAAAGGCAGCGCTAATAAATCCCTGCAGACAGAGAGGGAAGAGATACAATTAGAAATGGAAAAACAATAACATGCTGTAAAACCCCGTAGCACTGATGCATCCCTGATTCTGCTGCCTAGCAGTGCGGTGAGCTTCAGTTCCCAGGCTCGCCTTTCAGAAATGCTTTTACATCCCTCCTGAGGGTCAGGTCTGGGAGGCCAGTACCAGGGCAGTGGTTTGGGGATGGTTCCTCCCCAGCTGAGCAGAGCGAGGAGACCAGCTGGACCAGCTGTGGTACAGCCAGAGGGAGAGGTACGAGCTCCCCGCAACTCACATGGGCCATCTGGCGAAAAGGGGATTTTGCAAATACTGTTCTACAAAACTAAGTGTGCGGAAATATACCAAAAGGATCAAAAAACCCAACTCCCAGGTTTTAAATACTCAGTATAGGGATGGCTGCCTACAATGTAATGCAGGAACTGTATGAGAGTGAACTAATGAACTCTAAACTGAAATTATGAACACAATCTATATTGGGTTTGAAGATCGACATATTGCAAATGGATTTGAAGATTAGCCCAGCTTGCTTTCTGACCTCAAATGCTTTATGTGCTGGCTGCAAAATAAACCGTCCTGGACTTTGCTAAATTACCTCTTCAGGCTCAGCTTGGCGCTCTCCACTCGCAGTCCCAAACCATGAGCAGACTGAGCTTGGAGGAAGAAGCTCTCTAGTTTTCCTCACCACTTCCACAGTGCCTACAGCCCTGCTGCAAACACACCTGCTACAGTGGAATTTGAGCAGGGACTGAAAAGCAAAGCAAACCCTCAGTATAACCTCCAGCATCCCTGGAGCAGCAGAAGCAGGACATCTGTCTGTCCCATCTCCCTTGTCTCTAGGAAGCTAACTGACCTGTTGTTAAAAAGCTCCTGAGACAACTTTGTTGTAGGACACAGGCATCACTCAGGCAGCGCAGTACAGACCAAAAGCAGGACAGAAAAAGCCCTGGCTTGCTTAGTGTTCCTCTTCTGTCTCCATAAGAGTGAAATAAATCAGTTAGTTCTGGTCATTTTCAAATTTTACCATAAAAGATGCATATCTAGCTCAAATTTTGTTTTCCATGCCTGTTTTCCTTTTTTTTTTTTTTTCTTTCTTTCTTTTTCCTTTTATTGAGATCTTTGCAGGATGAAGTTCAAATGTTCCTAGTAAAACTTCAAGACCTGCCTTAATGGTGCAGTTGTGCCTAGAGCACCCCAGATGACTTGGGCAATGGTCTCTACCTTCCAAAGGGAACCTAGAGCAGCTCAACAGCCAGGAAGTGGTACTGCACGAGTAAGGGATGAAAGCCCAGGGCAGGTGGAGATGCAGTGATGCACAGGTACCCGAATATCCTTGGTTTAGGAATGAAGTTATTACTAATCCCTTTATTCCTGTAGCACCTGTGCTGCTCAAACCACAGATTTTGAGGCCAGTGAAGACCCATAAGGTCCAAATGACCAGCGCTGGCACATTTTTATCTGGGATTTCCCAGACTGCGTGATGTCCATGTGTGCAGCGCGGCGCAGGCAGAGCAAACCAGACGCTTCCGGGAGGGCTCAGATCCCTGCACATGTGCTGCACAGATGGGCTGGGCTGGCGCAGTAAATCTGCCATTTTCCTACACATTGGCCTTTCTCTGTGAGCACCAATTGACCGCGCAGCGCATGTGCAGTAAATCCCCCACCAGGAGCAGTGGGACAAGCTGAGCCTGTGCTGTGCAGGCAATGTGGGCAACTACTGTAGCAATGCCCTGTAATTCAGGTGGGCGGCAGCCCCAGGGCATGCCCATGCAGTATCCCTGGCTGGACTTCCACAAATCAGAAACCTGGGCAAATGTAAAAGTCCTGAAAATCTGCTGGGGCAGCATCTCTAGGTGGGGAAACAGAACAAGTCAGAGGCCCATGGAGAAACAGGAGCCTCAGGCAGGGAGTTTGTGATACTGAGGATTAGACAAAGTCACTGAGCCTGGATATGCCCATCTCCTGTCCCTTGCAGCTGCCCATGTGCCAGCACCCCATGCCAGCATCCCTACTTGTGGGGCCTGTGTTGAGCTAGAACTGAGGCTCAAGCTTGCTTTTAAATAAGCACTGAGAAAAATGTAATTTAACATTGATCAGTCACCCGAACAGTTCACAGCTCTGTCCCAGAAATGGTAATACTGGCATAACATGGGACAGCACCTCACAGGTCAGGAACGAGCTGTGGGAGAGTGGGGCAGGAGGGCTGCAACACCATGAGATGGTACTGACATCACAACTCTATATTGTAAAACCATGGCTCAAATCTAACCTTTCCCAGAGCATCTCCCATAGCCACATCTCCCAGGACGCAACTTTCACTTGAGTGTGGGCACATCTCTGAAATAGATCTCCTGTCCTGATTCAATACTTGCCAGTCATAGAGCACCTACTTCAACCTTAAGCAAATTGCTCCCATGGTTAATTAGCCTCCAAGTATGTTATTTCTCATCAGAATGTGTCTGGCTTCAGCTTCCAGCCACTGGAACTTCCTAGGCTCATTCCTGATACATTAAAGAGCCATCTGCATTTGGAAATCTCTTTTCCATGCTGGTAACTGCAGATTGTCATCCTTTAAATAATAAAAAAAAGTGATCCTCTAACAAAGAATGCAGCTGCACAAGGAGACATTACCATCGCACAGGCTGCCAGGTGGTTTAACATCATCGTCTGACTCCTGGGTGCTGGACTTCACAAACACGGGTTATTTCATCTGTTACTCCCTGGATTACTACAAAAGCAAACTGATCCTCTGCCAAGCCCCAAATGTAGGAGTAACACCGGCCTGGCTGTTGTGCTGTGGTGGATCCCTAGAGCTGGGCAACAGATGTCTGCCCTTTGAGCCAACAGTGACGGGTAGAAATAGCTTTATCTTGTGTCTGAATTGGTTGGTGAGGGGGACTAAGGCACAGGCTCACTTACTAACTTCTTCAGGTTCCTACTGGAACCAAATACCTGCAGCAGCAGAGACAGGTACTAGACCCAACTCATGCCACCTGCTGCAAAGACTTTGACCTGCAGCGCCAGATTTCAGACAGGGTTTTCACTCTGGGGAGCAGAGCCTGGTGGGGACTACATATAAATCTGCTGCTATACTGTATTCTCTTTCTCTGCTCAGCACCACCTTTCTTCAACCAGCCTGATCTACAGTAGAGCTGCACAAGCCTTCTAGCAAAGAGGTCTTTATGTCCCACACTGCCACACCCAGCCTTGGCAATCCGTACTCCAGGGACTCTGGAGGTTGCATTTGGGCCATGATGTTGCATTACCACTGATGCTTTTTCCCACCATTGATTTGTCCAGTCCCTTTCTGAACACACCCCTCTGGCCTCCACAGTACCCTGTGACAATGACTTTTACAATGCCATCACATATTGTGTAAAAAAGCTTCCT